TCTGGATTGCGACAGGATGTGTAGAAACAACCAGTAGTGGACTCGTATAGATACGTAATGAAATGGTGGTGGACGATGGTCGAAAGGTGGATTTGGAGACGGCAGGTGGTGGAGTCGCTGCGACCAAGGAGTTTTCAACGAAGTACATAGCATTTTTAGAGAAAGAAAGCAAACAATCAAATATGAAAAAGATGAAGAAGCCTAACTTGAATAACATAGAGAAAAGCACAATAGAAATATTATAGGGGAACAATACATAAATAAGGTATTTAAGTATCACATTTCAAAATTAAGATTTGAGGTTTTAAATTTCAAAAATTAGGTTTTCACTAAAATTTATTTATAATTTAAATAATTAATTATATATATTATTAGTAAATATATAAAAGTCACAGATCTATGCAATTTGGTCACAATTCAAAAAATCTATTTCAAAATTAAGGTTTGAGGTTTTAAATTTCAAAAATCAGGTTTTCATTAAAATTTATTTATAATTTAATTAATTAATTATATATTTTATTAATAAATATATAAATGTCACAGATCTATACAATTTGGTCATAATTCAAAAATTTTAAGGTCACAATTAAAAAAATTTATAAGTCACAATTCGTTTATCTGTCACAAATTAAAAATTTAAAAGTCACAATTTGTTCATCGGACATAAATCACAAAATTTATAATTCACAACTTATTTTTGGTCACAAAATATCAAATTATAGGTCACATATTACTTTAATTGGTTACAAATTAATAAATTTGTAGGTCATACAATATTTATTGGTGACAATTTATTTTTTATTGATCACATACCAACCAAGTTATTGGTCACAATTCAACAAATCATTTGTGACCACCACCACCAGAACACTATCGTCATCTTCGCCGCCACACCACCACCATAGAAACACATCACCGCCGCCAACATCACCACCACAGACACCACCACCAACACCCCCCCTAATGAAAATGACCTCACATCCACCACCAAAAAACGACCTCGCCACCACCATCCCCAACATCCTCCAAACCAACGCACACCTCGCACATATCACAAACCTCCACCACAAATTTCAGCCTCCTCCGTACAGATCACAAACACAGCAACACACCTCGCACAGATCACAAACCTCCACCACCAATTTCAACCTCCTCCGTTCCTCTGCGCGGCGCCACCACTATCAACACCATTGTCATTCACCGACGCTCACACCTCCACCAACACCACTCGACACACCTCCACCGCATCAATGAAAAATAAAAATAAAAAAAGGAGGAAGAACGGATCTGAACCAAGTTCGAGTCTGCACAAAGTCGCCGTCTCGTGGAGATTGGGTTGCCGACAGAGGAGAAAGTTGAGAGGCGGGAAGAGAAAGTGGAGAGGCAGAGGAGTAAATGGCATGGAGAGGATATGAATTTAGGGTTTGAATAGTTTAGGTAGATATAAAAATAAAAATAATTTTTTTAAAATTTTTAATTAAAACCTGATTTTTGTATTATAAAACTAGATACCTGATTTGTGAAAATGGTTTTTTTTAAAACCAGGGGTACGTATAATTTCCTCATACTATAAAACATGAAAAAAGGCCTAAAAGCCTAGGTTATATGAAACGAGACCCATCATGTTGTAACTTATGATGCTTACCTTTCTATAACATGTGCAACAAAATGTGTTGTACAGCTGCCACCACAACCATTATTCACCTCCTGTACCACATGGCAACCACCTCTACCATAAGCACTTAATCTAAACAATATCTCGTCACCAGTGCAAACGCCAATCTAGTTAGCATTCGGCACCTACTATTATATCTATTAGTCAAATCCCAACCATCACCATCTTAAAAATTAGATCCGCAATCCATAAAACTAAATCTATGATTCATAAAAATAAAGCCACGATCCATAAAACTCGAAGTGTCATCAAGATCACCACCCCATGGAGTTAATTGTTTCATTAGCCACCGAACTTCATATCATGTCACGACCTACCCACTGAACTTCATTAATTGTCCCGTTGGTCACTGAAATTTCCTCCGTCAATCTCCATTACTCACTCGTTTGAATCTGTTAGTAAACAGTCCTACATGGCAGACGGAGGATTGAAGTGGCAAGTTAAATCCATACAAATGTAAAATGTTTGCCGACTGGAATTCCACCTTCGTCCCAAAAGCTTGAAGTCTGTTAACCTGTTCCCAATTTCTATCGCCCTAACTCCTCAACGAAGAAGATGACTAAAATCCACAAATTAATTGGCCAAGCTCCATCTTTAAAACCCTACAAATGACTATGGAATTCACCCCAGCCCACCTCTAAACCCATAGCCCCAATTTTCCCCAAAAGTTGAAGCACCACTAAACCCAGCTCGTCTGTTGGAGTAACCAATTTCTGATTGAGTGAGCTAGTGGCATGCTACCGAAGGTGGAATTGTACAGATAAAATCTTGGATTGCCTAATTGCTACAATAGCACCCGTCTCAGTTGCAGAAGAGACAAGGGCAGTCAAAAATTTTGCTGCCGTAAGCGCCATCATCAATTAGAAAGAATGAGGACCATAGTATGTCCAGCCATTGAGCAGATGAGTCAACCCACAGAGGACTATAAATGCAACAAATTGGAGAAGCACCCATTTGAATGGAACATACAAGCAGCTAAGAAAGTAAAGCAACTCGATTGGAATCGAAAAGTAGGCAATTCCACCTCTTGTTTCCATTTCCAAGTACGGTAATTTGATCTTTGTTCTCTGTTATTCGGTAATTTGAGATAGTATTTACAGATTAAGGTTTGGACATTTAATGACAGTTTTGAGAAATGCGTGAAGGTTGAAAAGAAGACTAGAAACTTAGCCCTTCTATTCTTTTGTTGTACGAATGACTTTGGTCATTTCCAGTGGCTCGACGAAGAAGAAGTTCACCACTTTCAAGGCGAGTCAAGTACTACATTGGAAGAATTGGAGTTATCAAGTTTGCTGAAAAACGTTGCTAAAATTACTGAAGAAAAGGACGTTGAAATTTATGTGAAATTTAGTTTTCGAAAGGGCAAAGGAGAAACAAATAACGGGAAACCAAATGAAGGAGCTCCATGAATTGCAATTTTTTTGTAGGCTTTAGAAGTAGGTGTCATTTCTCTTTGCCAATACATGGCTGAAAAATTCTATTTGTTTTGGAACATTTGTTTTCTTTTCTTCTATTGAGTAGGTTTTCCTTTTATCTATTGATCTGTATAGCTTAATGGTGGGGGAAAAAAGAAAGAAAGAAAAGTCTCGACTCCAATCTAATGCATCACAGTAATCCAAAGTATTCTGAAAAATAAAAAGTTCATAAAGTCAAGCTACAACTATTACAACCAACTATCCTGTGTAGCAAATACAATTTTTTTTAGTTTGTCCACAATTCATTGTTCTCTATTTGATGGTTTGCATGTATTCCTCGTTAATGTGGTTTCATTGTATTACAGATTGTGAAGAAGATCCGGACTTCATTGACGCCGACCACGACTTTGGGTCTGAAGAAGACGACATTGATTATAATAGAAACGTAACTGATGGGGTTGAAATTGGATCGGATGGTGGTCGTCAAAATGAAGTTCAGGAAGAAAGAGAATAGGGCAACGATAATGAGTTGGATGAATTGGAACTTCCCTCGTCAGAGGAACTCCTCTCCCAATGTTCATCTAATGAGGACGACAGTTATCAGTTTCCCCGAATTCAATTTTGATCAGGACATGAAAAATCCTCAGTTTGAGGTAGGGCAAATATTCAGTTCCGCATCAGAGTTTTGAGAGGCGATTCAAACGTACGGGCAGGAAAACGACGATGCGCAACCAACTAATTGTTTTTGGCTTCTAGTTTTTTGGTTCTTGTTGCAACCAACTAGCTGTTGACAGAACACTGGTTTTTTTGCTTTTGAAATCTTCTTTTGTCTAGTGTAAAGGAATTAGAAATGTACATTGTAAACATATTGTCCAAATGACAGCTTTGGTATATATTTTGTATGGAATTCGATGATGTTAATCTTGAGGAATTGTATGGAATTGTATGATATTAATCTGCTTTTATATGAATGTCTTGAGGTTCTTGAAAATGTGAAGAAGGGTGCCCATGAATGAAAAATGAAAAATCAGATGAATCTGGTGAATCTTCTAATTGAGATGAATCTGGTGAATGTAGGTGAACCTGCTGGTTTACAGGTGAATTGAGATGAACCTGATAATGAAAAATGAAAAATTGCAGGTGAATCTGCAGGCGAAAATTGAAAAATGTATGCTAATTGCAGGTGAATCTGCTGGTTTGTTGCTGAATCTGGTGAATGCAGGTGAACCTGCTGGTTTACACGTGAATTGAGATGAACCTGATAATGAAAAATGAAAAATTACAGGTGAATCTGCAGGCGAAAATTGAAAAATGTATGCTAATTGCAGGTGAATCTGCTGGTTTGTTGCTGAATTTGTATTGTTTTTCTGTGATTAAAGTGGTATATTTGTACTGCATGGAACAAACAGGGAGATTAAATTCAATAAATTGCCTCATATAACAAGCATAGAGTAGAATTCACACTTTGTTCTTCCCTTCATTTTTACTTCAAGTTCAGAGATTCATTACCAGATCTCTGTTTTTACAATGTGCACACCACGTGTTCAGAGATTCATTACCAGTATATTCACAATGTATACACCACAGGTTCAAGCATTTAAATTACAAACATTAATTCCAAATCCATGGGATTAACGATGAATACCAATACCAATATATTAAAAGTGTACTGTGAGACATAAAAATCAGATTGAATCAATAAATTCTGCTTTAACATCATCCTATTACAATCTAACAAACTTATCAATTTGATACAAAGATGTTTCTTTTCAACAATCTTAATCTCTGCATGAATCCTATACCAATCTTTAAATTGTTCTAAAGCATCATCCTTAAAATTATTGACTCTCACAAGACAAAAATGAGTACGAAAGAATCCCCTTCGCTTCAGCCCCAACCTCAAAATCTTCCTAGCAAACAGAGCATTGCACCGCTTTCTCAATTTTCACAATGGGCAATGCTTGTACTGCCTCTTTTTTAGCCGGCAGCGTCCCATATCTGTTTGGATCATTCTCAGCCAAATGCTGCAGCAACAAGTCTAAACCAGGACCCATGAAATAATCACCCAGCGAGCCACTAGGAATGCGGTTTTGGTGGCCGTTATTGGGATCATGAAAACCCTGAATTGTGATTGTTTGATTGAAGGGATTGATCAAAATCATATCGTCTCTGCTCCAGCTCGAATACCTTGGAGGAGTTGGATAATTGTAGCTGAGCTTCTTCTCCTTCTCTTCGTTATTGACTCCATTTCACGATCAAGCTCCATCCCCACCTCGCTGTGAGGATTATTGTGCTCGTCCTCCTCACCGTCGTCTTCAAATTCCACACGTCTAAGAGGACGATGGCGAAACCCAAGGACTTTGGTGCGATTCGGGAGAAATAGATTTGAACCCTTGAACCTTGGGATTTGGGAGAAAATCTGAGGGTGGTTGAGAGATTTGCTCCGAAATCTGAATTGGGAAAAATGGAATTCAGATTAAGGGTTCGATTTAGGGATGTGGAATTGGGGAAAATCGATTGTAGCTCAGGGTTTGGATTTATTTTTCACTTCAAATTGGTAAAAGTCGTGTCTGCAAGTTTGGATCTGCTTATTTAGCAATGAGTTGGCAAGTGTGAAATGATTTGGAAGGATTTAACCGGCCAACTCGTATTTTCGTTAGCCATGTAGACTTGTCTGTTGACGGTTTGAATCGAGTGAGTGATGGAGTTAGACGGAGTGAAGTTTAGTGGCCACCGAGACAATTAGAAAAGTTCGGTGAGTAAGTCGTGACATAGTGTAAAGTTCGATGGCTAATGAAACATTTAACTCTTTCCCCATGAAACAAGATCCACGGTCCAAATTCACACTTCCCCTACTACAGACCTCGACAATACCTTCTTCCAAAATGAAAGACAATATATTTTCAGATTTTGCAAGATGGTGTGGTGGTAGGTAGTGGCGGTCTCATTTAGATTTGCAGTGGAATGGTGGTGGTTGGCGACGTCGGCTAAGTAGATGAGCTAGGGCTTTGTAGGTTATTGTTACTGAATGTTCATACCTTCTACTGATCGTAATGGTATTACTGTTCTTTCCTCGACTATGCTTGATATTTGCCTTTTTAAGATGGATTTAGTAATTATATTTGATATTTGCCTTTTTAAGATGGATTTAGGCCTAGTTCGGGATTGATTAAAATCCAATTAAAATTGGAAATATGGCCGTTATTGGGACCCACTCGTCTAATAAAAGTCAACAATAACGGCTATATTTTCAATTTTAATCCGATTTTAATCTCTTCCATACAAGGCCTTAGTAATTATAATTTTATTTTATTTTCAAAAAAAACATAACTTCCAAGTAATTTTCTCCTTTAATTTAAAACCCTTATAGTAATTGCCCAAAATCCTTCATATCCAAAACAAAGGCCTATAAGTATTGTGCATTGGCCAGACCTTCAAAGTTCTAACCCTATTCCTAAAATTTTCTTCCGCCGCAAAGTTGATGTCTATATATATACCTATCTGCACTAATTAAGTATTCTCACAGGAGAATTGGTAGCGCCTTTAATAGCGGTGGATGTGGAGGCAAAGGGAGAGAACGGCTGCCGGAAGCATTTCGGTTGGGAGCATTAGGAAATGAAAAAGTTCATTTCCTGAAATTCCTTTCATTTCCTATTCCTCCCATACCGAAGGTTTTCGGTCTTTCCTCCCCTTTCCTTCTGTCTGTGTTAGCGTTTATACTCACAACGATCGATGAATCAGCTTGTCTCCTTCGCATCTATCCGATCTGATCCTCTCCCTCTTTTTTCCTTATAAATGTTTAATGTTTGTTTTTTTTTTCGTTTATTATTTCTGGATCTGATTTAACTTCGTCCCAATTATAAATACAGATCGTTTGATGTGTATAACAGGGTTCAATTATTTTTGCGAACTAGCCATCTCCAAGGATTGAAGGTATATGGATCTGGATTAAGTCATGGACTTGACGGCCGTGATCGAAGTAGTCGAAACAGTCTCATATCGCGAATACAAAATTGTGATAATTAAATCAATCATCTCTTCATCATTCAGCTTGCGTGTATTATTTTTGCATATTGTTTCAAGTTTATAGATTATTTTGAATTTTTTGTTAAATTAATGGAATATATTGTAATTAATGCAATGGAGAATGAAGAGGTTGCTTGAAAAGTTTCGTCCAGTAATTTTAATAGCACTAAATAACAATTAAATATGATAAAAGCAGTATGAAAGATTTGTACGTTAAATAAATAAATTCTCAGAAATATAGAATAATTAATTAATCGTAGCTTCAACTTTGTATGAAACTTATACTTCTCGTAAAAGCATTGTATACATTTTCATCGTGTGTTCTCACTTTTTTCTCTTGAAAATGGATACATGTTCGGTTCGTTCTTCTGTGTGTGATGGATAAATGTCCATGATCCACGTTTCAAGGCCACTTTTAATCTCTCTATTGGGATGATCCGGTCTAGAGGTTGTCCAGTCATCTCGGCGAGGAATTTTGCTATGACACCAGGTGGCCTTACACTATGAGCACTGCTATAGCGAAGTCGGACATAATTGACTGCATTAATCTTGGTAGCTGTGTCACACAATATAAAGAACCTGAGGGAGTGAGTCATACATAAATAAAATTGAGAAGTGGAGAAAACACAAATTCAAGAGAAACTGTAACGGGTTTCATTTATCAAATTGTTTTCGTTCGCATTACATTGTAATAAATATTATGGACTCAAAAATTGTTAACTATATGATTTCAGTTGGATTGCTCCTGGGATGGTAACATAGACAGGAGTTGAAATTCAATGTTGCAAGATTCCTAAACCATTTTCAGGAGAAGTCTTGGCGCGAACTGGCATTGGTAGATATGAATATGGATCTGGAGGCGAGAAGACACAATAATCGCCGTTGAAATAGATTCTTCAGGAAAGGCCCAACCATTCTCGAAAGTGTATCCTTGCGAAATAGAAGCTCTGACTGCACTTTCCTAGAGGGCCAGCTTGCACGAGCACATCGTTATAAAATTTGAGACCTCATAGCATTGCAGTATCCCCTGTTTGACACAAGAACTATAAGCAGGAGTCGATGGCTAGTAATTAAAGCTGAACATCTGTGTCAGATGTTGGGGTGCCGGACAACCAAGTTCCACTGGTTGTAATTCATCCGGTAATTGTAGTTTGTTATTGTAACCTTAACCCGCCAATAGTCCTCGTAGTTTAACTTCACGTGCTGATGGACCCAAATGGGGCACATGTGACTGGAGCACTGGACCAGAGGTGAGTAATTAGTCTCCTCATTGTCCGATGAAACAACGGAAGCTAGATGCGGCGTGTCGGGACTACTACCAGAGGCAGAGGCATAAGCATCACAGAATAATAGACATGGTTAGGGAACAAATTATGAGAAAGATCAAAGAAACATAAAGAACACTAGCAGCTTGGTGGACAGTACAATAAATAAGATTTTAACTTCTTTTTCTTATTTAACGCGTGTTTAGGAGCCATTTTGTATCTAATTTGTAGAGAAATTCGTGTCGTTATTCAGTGCACGTCAGTGCATTGTGCTGCAATTATTGACTGAAATAAGGGGAATGACCTTTTAGCCACTTTACCATTCAATTCACTCCTCTTTAGAAAATGGCATTTTTGGTAATAAGCTCTCGTGGAGTTAATAGTTCATGCACAAATGGAATCCACCTATCTTTACAACGGTCAAAAAATGGATTAAATTTTGGACAAAATGACTCCCAGACACGCGATAAATATTTTCCAATCATGTCAAGTACTTTGCATCAAATATGAACTTACTCCACACAACTTCCTGGCTGAGTGATGTTATTCTGACATCCACAAGTACAAGTTGGGCATTGATCGTGTCATTGTAGAAGGACGACATAGACCACAGCAAGTTGGAGATTTTTGGGCCAGAAACTGTGAATATGTGCACGTAAGGTTCCATGTCACTGCAACACTAGAAGCATGAGAAAGAATCCAAATAATCTTGATGGTAAAAAAAAAAAATACAAAAAACATCAAGTAAACACGGCCAAATTTTGGCATCCCGTGCTATTGGTTGATCATACAGAGGAGGCGGCAAAATAAATAAAATTATACAATTTTCCGTATCATCTATTGCATGGCAACTCATTTGACTCATTCATAACACCCTAAAGTCTTCGATCCATATCTAAAAAATCGAAAAATATAAACGCGTATATCTGAATTAATAGGAATACCATAACTTACTCATTGCTTGTGTCACTCTCCTCCATCTTACGAGAGAAACCTGGTCGAATTCCCCACTTTTGCAGGTCCACAAGTATAACCCAGTCCAAATGTTCTTAGGCACAAGGGTTTTGTTGGTGGTTCCAGCAGAACCAACACGAAGTTGGAAAGGGCTTGCAGCATTGGTAGGATCTTGCATCCATGAATTTATAACCCCACCTTTGCAACAATTTGCAATCTGTTGATTGTAAGGAGTTCCGGGCAATAAGTCGACAACTATTGGATCTTTTTTACAGCAATGTGGAATGCCAGTTCCTTTAAACCTCGAATAATCTCCTTGCTCCAATGTTTGACCACCCATCACGATCCATATCACCTCCTTCTTTGCCCAAGTCCATCCCAAACT